TGCGTAAACAGACTGCAATTAAATGTGAACAAGACTAAGTTCATGGTCATATCTAGCGCAGCTAACGTTAGCTCCGACAATTACAGTTTAAAAATTAAAGATGAAGTAATTGAGAAAGTGAGAATCATTAAATATCTAGGTATATATATCGATGATAAGCTAAAATTTGAGGAACATATTGACTACACAGTAGCAAAAATTGGTAAAAAAATTGGTCTCATGAAAAGATCAAGTAAGTACTTAGGAAGGAGGTATAAGACTCTGGTCTACAGATCTATAGTTGAACCACATTTCATATACTGTCCAACAATCTTTTTTATAGCAAGCGACACACAAATTATCTGAGTGATATCCTACGATATAATAGTGAAACCCATTCGTATTTATTCAGGGGGAATAATAACTTCAGGCTGCCGCTGTATAAAAAATAGATAAGAACATTTTTTATAAGGGATTAAAATGTTACAATGAACTTCGAGCTCAAATAAAAAATTGTGAAAACGTTGGTACCTTCAAAAGGCTGCTACTTGATCACTGTATAGCATTGGCTATCAGATAGAAAGGCCCGACATGGAAACTAGTCCTTTCCATCCGTACTAGCTGGATGACTCTGGATCTAGTCCATTCAGATCACCCATAATGTATGCAATAAGAAGATCGGCATGGAAACTAGTTCTTTCCGTCCGATCAAATAGCGCGACTCTGGATTGCGTCCATTCAGATCGCCTGCCGGTAGAGAAGTTTATAAGAGGCATCTTGGAAACTAGTCCTTTCCAACCGCTCAGTTGTGGCGGCTGTGGAAATTACACACTTAGACCGCATATCGTACGTGTTATATTTACGGTAATGCTTGGAATCATGTCCATTCCAACAGCATCGAGAATATGCTATCTTAGTTAAATATACATAAACTATTATATAGCTTAGAAGGAAAAGTGTAACAGGTTAACTTATTTTAAGCATTAATTTTAACTTTACCTTTATTATATATTGCAATACATAATTCAAATGTATATACGTGAATGTATATAGGTCAAATGACGATAATAAATAAATAAATAAATAAATAAAATAAATCGCCATGGACGTAGCCGGGCCGTTTCCAATTAGCAAGTCTTTTTAAATCATCTCTTGAAACCTATTTTCGTAATTGTACATATACTAGTCACCGTTAATACTTTTAAGCCTACTTCTAGTCTGTAAGATTGTAAGTCATAGACTGAATAAAGATGAAATAATAATAATAATAATAATAAGTATGTGCTTGTCGTCATGGACTATTTTAGCAAATGGCCAGGGGTTTAACCAATTCCCAGTCAAGAAGCCACGACGGTAGCGGAAGTTTTTATTAAAAGCTGGGTATCGAGACTTGGTGTGCCTTTGCAGGTGCATTCTGATCAAGGCAGAAATTTCGAGTCAGCTGTATTTAAGGAGTTGTGCAAGACACTGGGTATTCAAAAAACCCGAACAACTGCTCTTCATCTGCAATCCGATGGCATGGTGGAAAGGTTTAACCGTACACTGGAGGAGCATTTAAGGAAGGTGGTGGAGAGAGAACAATGAGATTGGGATGCTCACATTCCTTTGTTTCTTATGGCATATCGTTCTTCAGTACACGAGACCACGGATCAGACTCCCGCTATGGTGATTTTTGGTAATGACCTTCGATTACCCACCGATTTAAAATTTGGTACAAGTGTGATTTCGAGTGGGGAAAGCAACGATTATGTTAAAAAGCTGAGGGAGGGGATGAATGAAATCCATGACCAAGTGAAGAAACGAACAAAGATCATGAGTGACAAAATGAAGGCAAGGTACGATAGAGCAATGAATTCTGAAGGATTTGAAGAAAGCGATTTGGTGCTGCTATACAATCCACAGCGGAGAAAAGGTTTGTCACCGAAATTACAGTCTAACTGGGAAGGCCCATATGAGATTATAAAAGGATAAAATGACGTAGTATATAGAATTAAGCAACTTGAGGGAACCAGGACCAAGATAAAGTGGTTCATTTGGAAAGATTAGCAGCATTTGGAACCGGTAACGTGTCTGATCGGGGCGATCAGACTTAAGCAGTGTGACGAAAATGTGTAAGAATCTAAACTTTAAGAAATCTGTCATATCTTTATGAAAATTTTCCAGAATTTGAAAATCATTCGTTGAATAAAGAAGCAATTTTCTGGGTGTTACAAATCTTGGTTACTTTTTATTCGATTAGCATTTTAGAGATCGATCCTGAGGAAATACGTAAATATATTACCGTTGATTTTGAGAATTTTTTTGGCCGAAGTTGTCGCAGACTTCTTCCATATAAAAATAAATTGGCTGCTTTTCTTTATTCATTCTGAACGTTTGGAATAAACTTGTTTGTTTACTTATTCTTTAGAACGTTCTTGATTTGGTAACGTATATTTCAAACGCGTTGTTTATTCTGGCTGTGAAATGGTATTATCTGGAATATATAGCCATTATGTTTATTCGTTATATGGAAGCAAATACGACAAAAAAGATTCTAAAAAATCAACGGTAATTTTTAACCATTTGAAATTTGCACATTGTTAGACTAAAATTGAATGGGCCATAAATAAAACTGTGTACTCAAAAAAAAATTTTAAAACTGCACCGAAAAAAGTTGGAAATTTAGGTGAAAATTTGTTGAATTTTTTTGGTTTTCTACAAAGTAAAACTGCGTACTCAAAAGAATTCTAACACTTCTGAGAAAAACTTATGAAGTTTTAGTAAAAATGTATTGTATATTTTTGTAGTCTTTTACAAAGTTTATATGGGTTTTCTTAGAGAATGAACTGTAGTTTAATTGAAAATTCTTAAAAATGAACAATTAAAGATGGCAAACAATATCACTTTGAAATGGGGAGGAGCTATTGATATGGCCAATACTGCATGACCTATGTAAAAATATTCTCTAAAATATAATTTTTCAACACTACTATATTATGCATGAGTACATATATATTGCTTTACTTACTTTGATTATGAATGGATTTTAACTTTGGTCTTCCATGATGTTACTTTTTGCAATGGTATGGAATAAAGTATACCATTTTATGTATATGTAAATCCTATTAACTGTTCGTAGAGCTGTGTTTTTTATTAAAATTATATTTTATTAGATTGCTTTTAGATATGTTTGTGTTTCTTCACATATCTGTATTTAGGTATGATATGTATGTATGTATTATTGAATAACTCCACTGTCTGAAATTTATATTATACACTTTAAGAACTTGGCGATCTTTACTTGATTGGATTTGATCTATTCCTAAAACCAAAGTAATGAGGTAATGTTGAAATTTCTGACAAGTGAATGCAATAAACGGCAGTCCTTAACATGTAGATATATAGACGATTCAAATAGCACTCAAGAGGTTTCAATATGAATTTGTTTTAAGAACTTGTCTAATTTAATGTTGTTTCGGATTCGATAATACGAAGGGTGTAATAGAAATTAATTTTCCACACGTACATATATACATACAGTATATAGTATATATATAAAATTCAAATTGGTCGTTAGAATTATTTTTTTACTGAATTATGAGATTTTTTTACTCCAATAATAGTGTGCAAATGACGTGAATTCGAATTCCATTCTCCTCAATCACGTACATATATGTCTATGAACGTAAGTAGATTTGTGCTTCTTGGTTATATATTTTTCCACTTTATCATTTTAAAAGTGCTTTTCCCAGAAATATATATGTACACTAAAGCAACGTAACGATCCTCGGAAACTCCTTGATATTAATATTAATTATTAATTTCTAGAGCAAATGCAAAAACTTGCACAGTGGAAAACGCCATCTTTGTTGAACAATTTCTTATCGGTCCTCTCCTTTGCTTTCCTCTATTGTGAATCGTATCGTTCTATTGTGATCGGTATGGGATCAAATGCGGGAATCGGTTAGGGACAAAATGGCACTACCGGAATCGGTTGACTTATGACATACAGTGTTCGCCCACATGCGGGATTTTATGATTAAAAAGGGCGAATGGGATTTTCTGACGAAAAACGGGTCATTCCATACCAAGCAATAAAATTTAGTTATTGATAAATAAGAAAAACTGCCATACCCTGTGGTAAAATAACGCCGTTCATATGAACTCTATCAGCGCAACTTCATTCACTTGAAATGAATTTTAATAACAATTTCGTGAGTTATCATAAATTAATTTGGATATCTTGAGTTTCTTGATTCTGAACTTGTTTTAAACGATTAATGCAAAAATATTTTGAGTGATTCTTTTACACGATGTTACACTGATCATGAACTTTTTAATTGACCTAGTACAGGTTGAAGGGTTGGTGAATTAATTCACGAAACTGGGCTTAAAATTTTTCTAACACCTTCAAATTCTCAACTTATTCTTAAAAAGCCATTTTCGCATGCCTTCCGGCACTAAGTAACCTTTAGCTCGGTTATATTTCAACCCATTTTAAGTTTTTATATGATTTTGAAAAGAAGGATACTTCTACTATTTAAAGAAATAATAAGTTGTGTGAGCATATTGCAAATATATGGAAAATTGTTAGGTCAATCTGAAATTTACACCAATTTTTATTATTTTTTTCCATTTCTACAACATTTTTTGGCAAAATATCAGAAGGAAATTTTCTCTTTCCGTCGCTACTTAGAAAATAATGTTTTATTCCGAGTAGAGCTAAGCACCTTTTTAAAAATCAATAGACAATTCGGAAGTTGTGATGTTCTTAAGG